AATCCTTGGTAGCAGTTTTTTGCATTTGAGGAGTAAAACCTAAACCATGTAAAATATGAGCAGCACGAGCTTCTGCAGTATCAGCAGCCATATCATCTAATCGTTCATATACATCCATTAATTGTTCCTATAAAAATATTAAGATTGGAGAAACTAAAAAAAAAAAGTGTCTACTTTTTTTTTTTTTTTTTTTTTTTAATGATAGACAATTGAAAAAGAATATTTCAGACCTGTGCATCTTCTTCCTCGCAATCAACCAATTCCTCGGCAAGTTTCTCAAGTCTTACTCTTTCTTCGTCAACTTCCATGACACATTCTAAAGCTGTTTTATTGCTAGCGGGCATTTCTCTGGTCAAATGAAAAATATCAATTTGATCTGGTATAGGAACTTCTCTATTTCCAAGTACTGCCAATAAAGTAGACTTTCCAGAACCATTAAGACCAAGTAAACCGTAACGTCTTCCACAATTTAATTCAAGCATAGTATCTTGTAGTAATTCGCAACCGTGAAAGGTAATAGAAAAATTGGATATTTTTATATCTCTACTTCGTGGATGTGAAGCCAGAGATCCAGTACATGAACGTGCTTCAGCATTGAGCCTAGCATCTGCTTCTAGTTTTAAACATAATGCCTCTAAAGACCAAAAAAAAAACAAACAAAAAAATATAAATTTAAAAAATTTAATATGTCATTAAGTAACAAATCTTTTTTCTTTCTTTCTTTCTTTATAAACCACAGGAGTATCAATTTGTAAACTTAAAAGATAATATACATTGTAATGTCTTTACCTTCTACGCTAATAGTCGTTCCATTAGTTCCATTTTGAATGGGTTCCTCCGACGCAGCATTTAGATCCTTTCCATCTTCTGCGGATTTTGTTTGATTGATAGTTGGTTTTTTGCCAGATTGTCTAGCCTTAGCGGCTTCTTTCTTTTTCTGTTGTTGTTTCTTTTTCGCGTCGGACGGCATATTTTATCTATAATCAAATAATAAAAATAATTTCTTCATTAATATTATAATCTTTTAATATAATAAATTATAATAAATTGTAATTTCTCGTTGTGATAAATTCGTTATGTAAGACGTAGGTTAGAAATATGAGATAGCACATGTACGATAAAACGTGAAAAGAGAATATAATTAAATAAGGTATTTTAAATATTATCTATCGTCTTAAACGGACTTGTCTTTGAAAGAAAGAGAAACCAATAGAGTATCGAGAAGGACAAAGTATAGTCTGTCTTGTCAAGAATAAAGCAATCCATTACTTTTTCGTTCTAAATATTAATTTCAAGGTGTTAGAGTTATAATCGATATTTTTCAAAGCTACGATATTCAAATATTTCTATCGAGTTATCGTTTTTCCATAAGATTTTAGAAAGCTCACCTAATTGTGCGCCAAAAAATGAACGATTCTTCCGACACAGAACACACGTGCACGGATAAAGGCAAAGCCATTGAGTGGAAGAATAGTTTGTCAGGTTGACTCACAGATGGTACTACCTGATACGTATAAATTTTTCAAGCGAAAACTTGGAAGGGGTAAAATTTTAAAGGGGGGAAGAAAAACAAAAAAAAAGAAAAGGAAAGAAAAAGAAAGAAAGAAAGAAGAAAAAAGAAAGGAAAAAAAAAAGAATAGTTTGATAAAAAATATCAAGATAATAAATGTCGATGATTAATCGTGCGTTATTATCTTTTCGTTGAAATCCAATGACGTTTCTCGTTAAACGTTCAAAGTTATTAATAACGATTTTTATAAACGAGCTCTTTTTTTTGTTTTTTTCTTTTTTTTTACAGAAAATATCTACGCACCTTTTTTTTTTTTACTCAAATACATTTCTAATGATTCCCGTAATCAAATATATTAATTTATTTACATATCGAATAAGAGTGATCCATTATCAGTTAACCTTTCTTTCATTATTTAAATACTCATACGTCATCTTAATAAGCGCCGTCGATAAAGTAGTACATTACCATACGATATCATACAATGTATATATACCTTAGTACATACTTTGAATTACATATGTGAATACGTTATTTGCATAAAAAAAAAAAAAAAGAAAAAAAAAGAAAATATTTATTTATAGGTATACCGATAGAAAGAGAAAAGAGGAAAAAGAAGAAGATAATGAAAAAAGAAAAAGAGAAGAAAAGAAAGGGAAATAATTTATGAACCGAATAATAAAGAAATGTAATAATCAATATAAACAACGATATAATCATTGGGGGTTAAGTTTTATAAAAAGATTTAAAATGGAAAATGGATTTATGGGGATTAATGTAATAAAAATAATAATGAAACTTCAACGGTGAAATTCTATCGATTTTTTTTTTTTTTTTTTTTTTTTTTTTTTTTTTTTTTTTTTTTTTTTTTTTTTTTTTTTTTTTTTTTATGGAAAAAGTAACAAGTAGAAATGGGATAAAACCGCAAATGGAAAATCCCTCTTAACATTTCCTCAGCATAATAATTTGCAATTCAGGCTGCTGCTACTACAGCCTCCGCGTCGTGCGTGTTGGTAGCAAGGATACATTAGCAATGCATTTCTGTCTTGCCTACGTACGAATGTGTCATCGTAGATTTAAGAATAATTCGCCTTCGTTATTACCATTAATGAAGCAATGAAATCACACATCGACATCATCATCATCATCATCGTCATTCATCGTACGATTAATATAAAAAGAATTAAACTGAATTAATCTCGTACGAATAATTTTCAATTAATATCTAAAGTGTTTGATAGACAGAGAAAAAGAGAGAAAGAGAGAGAGAGAGAGAGAGAGAGATAGAGAGAGAGAGAGAGAGAGAGAGAGAAAGATAAGATTTCGTGATCGCGAATTAGATTATTACGAAATCAAATTAATTTTAAATTATATAGAGCTTTTTAAAGGTAACGTTATGCGTGTTACTATTTTATCGTGATACAGTTTTGTCTGGTTGAATAACTCGATAAACGTCACATATTAATAACTAAACCGAGAAGTTGTGTAATTCAGTGGGTGGTTGCCTTTCTCTATTATAACCAGAGTTTAATGTAGCTTTCATATACATACATTCATACATATATATATGCATGTATATGGACGAGTATGATTATTCAAGATCTCAATAAAGAATTCGATGGAAAGAAATCTAAGGGGAAAAAAAAAAGAAATAAATAAAAAAAAAAATAAATAAAAAGGGAGGAGAATAAAACAGAAGAAAAAGAAATTAGATCCTCTAATCGTATTACGTTTCTATAATGATTAAAATGAAAGAATGATATTTAATAAAAATATTTCGATATGATTTTGGATCATGTCGAACGACGTAAATAATTGTTCTCTTTTTCTTCGATGGAATTTGTACATGCTGCAACACTTTTACTCTCCATCCATCGGTCAGAGTCGATCGAAAGTTGTGACTTGTATACACTTACCTCAAAGTAAATTCGAACAAAAGAGAACAAGAGGGATAAGAAAAAAAAAAAAAAAAAAAAAAAAACAAAAAGAAAAAAAAAAAAGAACGCCACAACCAGTGAATTGTCACGAAGGTCGACGCTCATTCTTTTTTCTTTTTTTTTTTTTTTTTTTTTCCTTCTCCTCTATATATTTTTTCTCTCGACACCAATCTCTTCTCCCTACTCCTGTCTCACCTTTCTTTTTCCGAAAGTTTCATTTTCTGATCGAGCCCAAGTAACAATCTTCTTACGGATTTCGATACGAGGTCCATAATGACCTTGAGAAAAGTCCACTTATATAGGTTATAATACGTAAAATGAATTATATTAAAAATTGTTTTACAACGTGATATGTTTTTTTCTCTCTCTCTCTCTCTCTCTCTCTCTCTAATTATCGATCTCCATGTTTATCTTTTCTTTCTTTCTTCTCTTTCTTTTCTTTTTTTTTTTTTACCAACGGAAATTCTCGCGAGTTAATAATTATTGTAAACTTATCAATATCATTTCTATATCATTTATACTCTTATGTCTATAGTGTTATATATATATATATATATATTCCATCTATCTTGTAACTTGCGTAATAGACGATCATTGGCCAACTACTTATGCATAGTGGTATACGATACTACCAACCGATACTCCACATCCAGTCTGGTTTTCTTTATTTTTGTCTACATTCTATCTCTCTTTCTCTCTCTCTCTCTATCTCTATCTCTATCTCTGTCTCTTTTCCACCTTAAAGATAGAGCTTGAAAGTAACAGTATTTTACAGTCTCGTTTCTTTCTTTTTTTTCTGTTTTTTTTTTCTTTTTTTTTTTTTCTTTTGTTTTCTTTTTTCTCTTTCTTTTCTTTTCTTCCCTTTCCTTCAAAACGATTAATAAGAAAAATGAAATGATCGAAGTGAAGTGAAGTGGATTGAAGTGGAATGCCGAGTTTATGAGGTATATAATAAAATGAAAAACGAAAAAAAAAAAAGAAAAAAGAACAGAAAAAAAAGACAGAAAAAAAAAGAAAAGAACGTATGAACGATCATCGACTAAGAAATTTCGATTAGAAATAATTATATCCGTTGACAAATACGTAATTGTATCCTTTGTAACTTTAATACATTTGTATAGTTTTTTTTTATATATATATATATGCACACACACACACACACAACGCACACATATACACAGAGACGCACACATACGTGTATATATATATATATATAAAATTTCAAATGTAAAAATAATAATATATTTTTCGTCGTGTGAAAGTTTTATAAATTTTTCGAAGGTTCTTTTTAATTCTACTTTTTTTTTCTTTTTTTTTTTTTGATGGCCTTCCGGTATCCTTGCATTCGACATATTCAACGCGACGTTGTTAAGAGAGATCGCACGAAAAAGGAACGGAGAGAAAGGATGGAGGAAAAGGAAGACAGAGAGAGAGAGAGAGAGAAGAGAGAAAGAGAAAGAAAGAGAGAGAGAAAGAGAGAAGGGATGAGAAAGCCGAGTAGGTACTCGGTCACTAGAGGGACGACGACTTCAGTCTTACGAACGCATCCAAAGCGTGAGGTTAGGCATGGTTTTCTATGTGTTTCGGCTAACGGTCGAGTCATCGTACGTGTTTTGAATATTCGATGATCGATTAAAACAGAAAAAGAAAGAAAAAAAAAAAAAAAAAGAAAAACAGAGAGAAAGAATATCAAAAAAAAAAAAAAAAAAAAGAACAGAAAAATCGAATAAAGAAGTCATCCGATAGAGATATTAAAACGTATTACGTAGTGTCGTGTTCGTAAAACTATCGTCGAAAAAAAAGAAGAAAAAAAAAAAAAAAAAAAAAGAAAAGAAAATAAAAAGAAACAAAAAAAGAAAAAGAAGAGGAAAAATAATTCATATACAACGCGAGAAGAGAAAAAAAGGGGGAAAACAAAACAAAAAGAAAAGAGAAAAGATATTAGAAAAACGCACACTGGAGAAATTTGTATCAATCGATAATTCGAAAAGCTTTTCCCGCCCAAACGGAAAGGATCGAGTAATATAAATTCTTTTTTTTTTTCTTTTTTTTTTTGCGAACGACAAATTCATAGTAATCGTTGGAAATTCTTGTCGCGAACTTTTCCAAGTGCCGTTAAGAGGTAACACAGGAGGAGAAGATAGTAAGAGAAGGAGGAGGAGCAGGAGGAGGAGGAGAAGAAAGAGATAGAAGGAGGAAGGAGTGCGGCGGAGGGGAGAAAGGTGTAGGAGGGGGAGGCCCTCTCGTGAAATTTCGAAAATAATTGAAAGAGGGGGAGGGGTGCGCGAGCATTGGTTGTAACGGATAGTCAATCGTCTTTGCTTTTCGTACGTTTAGTTTCTTCTTTTTTTTTTTTTTTGATCTTTATAAGAAAAGATCCAAGGAAAAGAATTCAGAATGAGAGCTCGTATGTGCGGCCTGGATCATCGATCGATCAACAACGTGTGCGAGTTTACGGGCCTCGATGGAGAATGATAGTTCGACAAAGAGAAACAACAAAACGGATATCTGTTGAAGAGGATCATTGTCCAAGGAACGTCGATCGATCGAGGATAGATCTTGAGAATAAGATCGCTCTGATCATTCGGAATAACGAGGCAGCACGGGTAGGTAGGTAGGTTATAATTGTTTATATAGTTTTATTAATTTATATTATACACATTTTTCTTTTTCTTTTTTTTTTTTTTTCTTATATTCGACGATTTTTTTTTTTTTGTATTTATTTATTTATTAATTTATTAATTTATTTATTGCGAAACATCGTGCATTAAGATCGTTTTGTAAGATTCATTAGACGATGGATTCATAATATTTCGATGGATGTAAATAGGATTATAATGATCTTTCATTATATTTCCTACTTCGTTTTATTTAAAGATTAAGATATATATATATATATATTTTTTTTTCTTTTTTTTTCTAGAAATGATATATTATACATTTATAAATCCATTGAAAGAGCATCGTTGTATCTGGCCAAATGTTCATAACAAATAGGATTTTAATAGGGTAAAATAAGAAATGCGCGTCATTATCGATAGTATAAGCGCAGTGGTGTTATATCGGACAGCTGTGAAGTGAAACGGGCCTCGGATTTCTCGCCGTTAGGTAACGACGACACGGGAATGCTTTCTTATATAGGGTGTTTATAAAATTACCATTTGGAATTTTATAATAATAATAATAATAGTAGTAATAGTAATAATAATAATAATAATAATAATAATAATAATAATAATAATAATGACAAAAAGAATTGAAATATCGTGTTACATATCTTGTAAAGTAATATGGAATGTTATCTTCATATAAGGTCAGTCGATGTAACGGTAAATCGTTACTGTTATTAAACGTATACGTAAGTAGATGCATACACACATACACACACATAATATATATATATATATGTATATATGCATATATACGTATATATTGAAGTCTCGATTTAGTAATCGAAGTTAAACTTTTTTTTCGAATGAATTATTAGAAAGTTATTTCTCTAATCATTATTATAAGAAAAATACGAATCGTTTCGGATATATAATTGCGAATGCGTTTATTCTCGTTGCTATGTAAAAAAAAAAAAAAAAAAAAAAAAAAAAACGAGTAAGTAATTGTCTCGAATGATTTCTAACGATTAGTCAAGTATATTAAATATATTATTATCATTAGAGACATAGACAGTTCGTTATAAGAATTATATATATATATATACATATATATGTATATATATATATATATATATATATATATATATATATCTCGACGTCCTCGGCCTATTTATGTTAAAACGCCCATTCGAATCCTAGTGTTACGTCCAGTGGCGTAACGAATGATATAGGCTGTGATATAGGTGAAAGGGCTTATAGAGCACTGTTGTCAACCTAAACGAAAGTCTTAAACGTGGCAGCTCGATTTACTCTCGCGCCTTTACTTATTACGGTCAAACGCGCAAATTCTTTTCTTTTCTTTTTCATCGTCGAGCTCTACTATGCGATTAAACTATTACTACTACTACTACTACTGTTATTACTATTTACTACTACTATTTGTAGAAACGTAAATTGACAATAAGGAAAAAGAAAGAGGGAGAGCTAAAGAGAGAGAGAGAGAGAGAGAGAGAGAGAGAGAGAGAGAGAGAGAGAGAGAGAGAGAGAGAGAGAGAGAGATAGAGATAGAGATAGAGATAGATAGATAGAGGTAGATACAGGTAGAGAGTGAAAGAGAGAGAGAGAGAGAGAGAGAGAGAGAGAGAGAGAGAGAGAGAGAGAGAGAGAGAGAGAGAGAGAGAGAGAGAGAGATTAACTGACTGACTGACTTGAAGGGAAAGGAACCGGATTGAAAATTTTTCATAGCAAGCATGTTCTTTCGTATACGTAATCGAATCAATTGGAAAAGCAAAAGGAGATGTTTGGTTATTACACGATAAGAAATCTTCCTTTGTTATGTCGTGTCTTTCTTAATATCTTTCTCCCTCTCTATCTCTCTCTCTCTCTCTCTCTCTCTCTTTCTTTCACACTCACTCTTTCTCTTTCTCCCACACATCATACAAAACACACACACACCTGCATATATATATACATATATATATATAATATATATATATATATATACATACACATACATATATCGATTTCCTCGTTCCTCGAGAAAGATCTTCGTTCGTTAGCCTCTCTACTTGAAAGATATATAGAAATCGAACGGTATCCACTTTCTTCTCATTCAAAGTTCTCGATTACGTCGAGGATAACAACAAATACTTGGACACGATTCGACAAGGCAAGTAGGAATAGGCAGGGACAGGCAAGGGGCAGACCGGGGACAGACAGGGGGCAGGCAGCCGTAGTGCACTTTCCGTAGGCGTACTATGCGAGCATGGCACGTGTGCAAATGAAAGTGTTATGAGAGGGTGTTAGAGAGAGAGAGAGAAAGATACATAGATAGATAGATAGATAGATAGATAGATAGAGAGACAGAGATAGAGAATAGAATCATATAGGTATATTTTTTTCTTCGTCTTTCCTACAAGCCTTTCCGTATTAATGTTTTAAATTGATAGGAAGAAGGAGATAGATAGATTGATAGATAAACCAAGAGAGAAAGAGAGAGAGAGAGAATGTTGTAAAAGGCGAGAAAATTGGGAAAGGAAAATTCATGCTCGGTCGAGTAAAAATATTTGATAGATCTTAGATCATGATTTTGAAGCGACGATTGATGGTAAAAGAGGTGGAAGAGAAGGAGGAGGAGATGGAGGTGAAGGAAGAGGTTATGTGGAAGGATTTACTTCGTAAGGAAATCGCGTGTTAACTCCTTATAAATATATTCAGTACCATATCGTAAAATTGTATCAGCCAATGTAAAAACACATGTTGTTTAGCTTCTAACTTTCACCGCGGCAAGTTTCAAATACCATCTCGGACAGTTGGCCGAGCATAAAACGGCGCGTCATTCGAAATATCTGATTTATGGATTGTAATATTTTATTATCGTTAATGTAATGTTATAATAACTGTTAGTGTAACGTTATTCTCTTTCTCTCTCTTTCATTCTCTTTATAATGTCGTCGTCGTCGTCTTCGTCGCAAAAGAATTTTTTTCTTTTTTTTTTCTTTTTTCTTTTTTTCTTTTTTTATTTTTTATTTTTTATTTTTTCATATCTTCGATAATCAACGTTCCAATCGTTTATTTACCGATTTATTTTGCAACGAAAGTTTCCAATCGCGGAATAAGAAAAAAATAATGCGTTGTTTAAATCGTTAAATTATAAAATGGCGATATAATGTGAACTTGCTAATAGAATTTTTTTTTCCATGGTATTGGTATTGTTTTTTATTATCGTGCGTTTGAACATTTTTCTCATTTCAATGTATATATAAGCGCTTTTCGGGATACACCGGGAAAATTAAATTCATTCTCGTCTATTCTCGAATGTCAATGTTTTATAATTATTATTATTATTATTATTATTATTATTATTTTTGTTTTTTTTTTTTTTTTTCGTTTTGTTTCTTCCCTTTGAAACGCGAAAAAATTCATTTAAGATTCAATTAAATTCGTTCCTTTCGGTTTTCGAATTTTCTTTTTTCCTTCTTTCTTGCTTTCCTTCCTTCCTTCCTTATTTTTTTTTTTTTTTTTTTTTTTTTTTCCCCAATTCTTCTCTCTTCAATGTATGAATAATTCTATTGTGAAAAATTTTTACCTATTCAATTTTAATCCGACAAAGCATGTAATAAATGTTCTCCCTGGTCGATGCGTATTTTTTTTTTTTTTGCTTCTTCTTTTTCTTTTAAATGTCCTTTTCTTTTCTTTTTTTTTTTTTTTTTTTTTTTTTTATCGAGGACAGGTTTTACCAACGATTACTGACCTTTATGAAGAATTCAAGCGTTCGAATGAAACGCTAGTTATCGAAAATGAAAGCTAAACTAACTGGACGCGGTGACTTGACCAGCGGCGAGTACCGCTATTTCTCGTCCTCTCCTATCGTTCTCTGTCCTATACTAACAAGCGGAACTACGATAGGTTATATTTATTTTTCCTCTAGTGTTCCATTAAACTCGTTTATGTAATACCTTTCTAATTGACACAAAGTTTTATCATAACGTTAATGTTAAATGAAATATCTAATATATATATATATATATAATATATAATACATATAATTTTCTTCGGGTTACATATTTACATATTTACATTTGTATATTGAATGACGTATTATTATCATCCTCCCCCGCCACCCTCCCCCCTATTTTTATGAGGACTAATCGAAAACATTTTAATTAGTTTAACGTTCTCGAATAGATTTATTTAATACGGAAAAATGATTACTTTTTTTTTTTTTTTTTTTTATATATTCGTAATTTCACGAAGTTATTATCTAACACGAGAAAGCTAAAACCCGTTGATTTTGCTATCGAAAACCACTCTTGGTATTTTAGAAAAATCAACGTGCAGGCTTTAACATTCAATAATCGTTGCATTTGAAATTATCATTTCTAATAACGTTATGCAAGTTTACATAAAACGTTTTGAGAATATCTCAATGGTTGTACCGATTCTTTCAAGATTTCTATCTAACTTATTGTCTTTCGTTATTATATAAATGATATTAAATAATAATCTATAATGGTGTCTCTAAATGTTAAATTGAATTGCAATGCATAATCCGATGAAATGATTGAAATTAATTGATAAAGCATATATATATATATATAATAATGATTAATGTGCGTGTCGTTTAAATGAAAATTTTAATTAACATTATTATAGATCCTTGTTACGTATCTGCATTAATGACGTTTAATTGAAACGAAGGTCAATCATGGTTTCTCGTTTACATCATAAATCGATCCATGAGATTCAATATCGATATATTAAAAAGTACATATTATACATACATGGGTTATGCGTTAGATAATAAGTTTTTATAAAACAAAATCCATATCTTCGTTTATCGTTTATCTACCTACGATCGAGAAAGTATTGTCGATCCTAGGTTTCGATTACTGTTGTGTATCGATTGCACGTTTTCTCTCGTGATAAAGAAAAAAAGAATCTTACCTTTCGAAAAGATATAATTAAAAACAAAAAAAAAAGGAACAATTAAAAGAAAAAAAAAAGGAGGAGTAATAATAAAAAAATAAATTATGTACAAATTGCATAGATCGACCAAAAAAAAAAAAAGAAAAGAAAGAAAAATAATTGATCAGAAAAGATCTTATCTTTCGAAAAACGAGCGCCATTCATTGGAAGGACAAAATCGTTTTGGGAATCATAAGAAAAAAAGGAGGAGTAAAAAAAAATATATATATATACAAATTGTATAGATTATTAACAAAAAAAAAAAAAATGATCATAAAAAAAAAAGTTTATTAAGTCGAACTTGCTTGATCTCGTCGATTAAATTTAATTATTATCTCGTAAAAAAAAAAAAGAAAACAAAAAAAATTGGACTCTTCTGTTAATAGTTATATTCTGTCAATGGTTGAACAGGATCAATAATAATTGAAAGCATATTACGTAATTGCGCCTTTAAAAACGTCCTACCCACGCATCAAACTATAAATCTTTCTCAACCACGGTAAATCGCGATAATGAAAAAGTATGTGTTAGAGCGTGTGTGTTCTCTCTTATATCACTTTGCGTTTACCATTTAAATAGTAATTTGAACTGGGTTTTGTTTATGTTAAAAAAAAATACATGATTTTAGATTTTAACGAGGGTCCAAAGTTTACGAGGTTTGCGAGTAAAAAGTTAGTTTTTTTTTTTTTTTTAACAATACGAAAAAGCCGACAAACGAGAATGATTTATTAGGTGAAAATGATTATAATGCATTACCACGAGTATGCTAAATGGTTCCCACAAACATTGAGTCAAGTTTCTCTCTCTCTTTATTTTTTCTTCTTTTTTTTTTTCTTTTTTTTTTTTTTTTTGGAAGAAGCTATTTTACTCGTAATTCGGACGTTGATTTATTACTTTGAAGGTGGAAGAGAGTGGGGAGGGGACAGGAGGAGAGGAAGGGAGAAAAGAAAGAACGAAAAGTAAAACAGTTTCAACGAAGTCACTTTTTATAATTGGTACAATAAAGTTGTTGGTTAGTTAACTTAATGTCATTAACTTAATGTAATTAACACGATTAATTAGTATTTGTGGTAATTATGTTAGACTCTCTCTTTCTCTCTCTCTCTCTCTCTCTCTCTCTCTCTCTCTCTCTCTCTGTGTGTGTGTATATGTATGTGTATGGGTATATATATATATGTGTTAAGATCGAATATGATAGTGAAGAAATAGTTGATTGTTCATGACCGTTCATGACCGCTACTAATGTACATTATGACTACCGACGTGCAATTCATGATTGTATAGTACGTTGATATAAAGTTGATATAACAGATTGATGAGACGGAAATAAGAAAATGTCTGTCTTGTTACGTTAACGTAATCGTGAACAAGATCGTATCGTATTCATGATATACGTTAAGATATGTCTGATTATAATCAGTGGATGATCACTTTAATATGGATTTGGAAAATAGTTTTCTTAGAAATGAAGATGCGCAAGATGAGGTGAAGAAGGCGGAGGAGGAAAAGAGAGAAAGAAAAAGATGAAGAAGAAGAAGACGGTCGTGACTCACCATGAAAGGGAATGAACTGCTATGGTCGATTGGACGATCGCATTGCTGCAACCGTGATAGGTTTAGAAAGTTCAGGATGCGCTTGAGGCACTGCCGATTATGAACGTTTCTAGTTGCTTTAATTCTAAATTGGGTGTCGCGAAACAAAATTATATATATATATATTTTTTTTTTTCTCTTTTCTTGCTAATATAATTACGCGATATCTTTTTTTTTTTTTCTTCTTCTTTCTTCTTTCTTATCTTACTGATATAATTGCGCGATTTTTTCTTTTCCTTTTCTTATTTTATTAATAATAATAACGCGATTTTTTTCTTCATTGGAAATATGCTTCCGTATCTCGATATGCGCATTTTCATTTTCATTTTTTTTTTCTTTTATCTATTTCATTTTTTTCTTCCTTTCTTTTTTTTTTTTTTTTATTTTTTAATGATCCACTCAACTACTTGGAAGCTAACTCACGCATTATTAGTCAGTCGATCGATGTATTTCGTTTTTTTTTTTTTTTTTTTTTTTTTTTTTTTTTTTTTTTTTTTTTTTTTTTCTTTAGCGTAGCGCAAAGTGTGTCAAGGATGATACTGTTTACGTTAAACGTCCGAATTCGTTGAATTGCAACATGTAATTAGTGATCAAAGAAGATCGTTCGGTAGAAGTATGTATGTACGTACATAGATACATATATATACTTAGAATACGTACATACTTAGGATACGTAGATACTCACCTCTTTATGTTTCTTTTAACGAAACAATATTTGCGATGTACTTACTCTTGTGATATTACAAAAATAATTGGACATCCCCCATATGGTTAGATATATTATTATTACTAATAGCTATTGTGCAATACACAATAAATCGAAAACAAGATATACTTTCTTATTCTTTTTTAAAATTATAATTAGATAATTATGATATAAAAGTATATAGAAAATATATAATTGAAATCTATAATAATAATAATAATAATAATAATAATAATAATAATAATAATAATATTAATAATAATAATAATCGTAATATAGTAGAAATCGTTAATCGAAACTATGCATTTGTAATTAACTCAGTTAGTTGCAATAAGAGTTTTTCTGTTTTCTCATCGTTACATTTGTTTGATAAATATAGTCGGTTAAAAGGCGCGGCGCAATGCGGCGCTTTCCAGCGAACACGTATCTTTCATTCACGACACAGAATCGGGGGAAAGCCGTGTTGTCGTCGTCGTTGTCGTCGTTGTCCTCGTCGTCGTCGTCGTCGTCGTCGTCGTGTTACTGTTGATAGCTGCTTCGAAACAAATCGCGGACGATGTGCCGCTTTTTACGTATGGATGACTCCAAATATCGCCGTGAGAATCAATTGCTTTCTGGAGAAAACGAATACGTGTGTACGATGCTATATATATGTATATACATATATATATATATTTTTTTTCTTTTTTTTTTTTTTTTTTTTTAGAGCAGTGAAAGCGTAATGCAAATTTTCTAACTACGCGACATCTCTCTCTCTCTCTCTCTCTCTCTCTCTCTCTCTTCGTGTTTCTCATGTGATAGGTTCAATGTTTTTTTTTGATCGTCTGTTCTTTATATTTTCTTCTTTTTTTTTTCGATATACTTTTAAATAAATATCAAGTTTATTTATTTTAATATCACCGTCGTGTCCTTAATATTTTGAACTTGACATTTAAAATGACGGATAACAACGCATGCACGTGTTTATGCGCTAACCTTCGGTATTTCATTATTTACACCGCCGGTAAAAGAAGCCAGCAACATCAAACGTGAGTAGCTTTCGTAAAGGAACATTTCTGCCGTGCAGTTAACTATTATATGTATTGGTGATGTTTCGAGGACCACACTTATAGATTACATTTGTGTATTCAAATTGATAGCGATTATTGTTGAATACATAGATTAGTAATAGTGTTTGAACGTGTTTTATTCTATGAGCCATCGGCTCATAAAGTATGTACAAATTTCGTTTGAATAGTATAAGTAAGTACTATTCTGGTATCAAGCACAAGATGTGGAAACGCCTTTCTCTTTCACACGTGTTGCGCTGCGCTTCAATACAAAGTGAAATCAACTTCGTGAGTTAAAGAAGTTGACAAAAAAAAAAAAAGAAAAAAAAAAGAAAGAAAAAGATGAAAAAATTAAAATTAGAAAAACGGGGAGAAAAGAAAAAGAGATAACGAAACATAACGGATCGCGTTTTTCTTACCATTTTTTTTTTTTTTTTTTTTTATATTTCTTTTTCATCTTTCTCTATATACGTCACGATTAATTATATAAAATTTTTTTTTCTATTCGTCATAAATTTATATTTATACATTTTAAGAATTAAATAAATAATGTGTTCCTTTTCAATTCTTTTATGAAAATAAAATCTATTTAGATATCACTTTCAGGATGGTTTCACTTTAGAGGATTCATTTTAATCGTACAACTTCAACGATGGGAGGGTTTAAGAAGGTTGAAACGATTGCTTAATCCCTGTCATCGTTAAATCATAGTTACTCTCATCGACCGATTGTACCCGCTAGCAAGCGAGCTAGCTAGCGAATAACTACTTTCACCACTTTATTTTATTTTAAACTATTCGGTAATACGTCGAAATAAAAAAAAATGAAAAAAATAAAAAAAAATAAAAATAAAATAAAATAAAAAAAGAAAAAAGAAAAGAAGAGAAGAACAATTGTTAGGAACAAAAGAAGAAATAAAAAAAAAAATAAAAGAACAAAAAGAAAAAAAGTAACGAATAAGGAAAATAAGACGTCGGGAGATTACGCCGGAAATCGTCGAAGCGAAATAATCCTCGAAAGGAATTTTTCCAACAAATTTCTTTTTTCTTTTTTCCTTTTTCTTTTTCTCTCTCTCTTTTATATATATATATATATATATATATATATATATATATATATATTCTCATACATGTCCAAAAATTTCCGATGTTTCTTGACGAGAGGCGAAGCAACAAATCAACTACGTCGCTTTCGTTTGAAACGATTTCAGGTCACGTTCCTTGTTCAATTCAAATCACGGTATACCCGTGAATAATTCCACATTTGCCAGAGACTTTTAAGTGGACAGCCAAAAAAAAAAAAAAAAGGAAGAAAGAAAGAAAAAAAAAGAAAGAGGGAAAGAAAGAAAAGGAAATTGTCGAAATAATCCAAAGAACATTCTTTGTAAACTACCAAGATTATTTTCTTTTTTATTTATTTATTTATTTATTTATTTATTTTTTTTTTTTTTTTTTTTTTTCGGAGTAATTTTTAGGTATACACACACATACATATAAGTATATGTACATTAGAATGCACATTAGAATGTTCGTAATAATTTTTACCGACATTTTCTCTCTTTCTTTTCTTTTTTTTTTTGTTTTTTTTTTGTTTTTTTTTCTTCATTTATTTATTTTGATTTATTTTATTTTTTATTTTTTTTTTTTGTTTATTTTATAGGTCGAAGGATTCGATTATAGCGCAGCCATGAACTTTGCGCTGCATGGACTTCTACTACAGGGTAAGGCAAAACGATATTACACGATATTTTTAATAACTATTCGATCGTTTTAATGATCTATCCATTGGATTTGACAAATCGATGGATAATATGTTCATTGTTAATCGATACTAATTCTTGTAAATAATTCTAGCTGTAAGAAAGAAACGAGAGTCGTTCGAAACGAGAAAACAATATATATGATTAGAGAGACCGAAGGCCACACCTCATAAATTATTATCGAATTGATTATTTTCGTTCAATGACTTCTGCGTTACTACGAACCTAATAATCATGTATAATATTTTATCTAAACAATATCATCGATATGTTTTTTTTTTCTTTTTCTTTTTCTTCTTTGTAAAATGTTTGTAGATCAATGGATTAGATATGATCAGTTTAATGAGAGTCACTCACGATCTCTTTGAGTTATATTATTCGAATTCATTTGACTTACGTTCATTTTCGATAACTTTTGGAATTAATATAAATCTAATAAGCATCATCGGATTTATCATCGATACGTTAATTAAGATTTATTGTTTTATTATTTTTATCTTGTTAATTATCTTTTTTTTTTTTTTTTTTTTATAGATTAGATTAAGAAACATATATTTTAAACATGTGTGTATATATATATACACACATATATATATATATATATATATATGTGTGTATATATATATACACACATATATATATATATATATATATATGCATACATGTATCAAATGACGTTCATTCTAACAATGTTTTAGCGATCGTTAAGAAGAGAAGGGAACTTAATAAAATTTATTGATCTACCATTCGCATATATCTACTATTTGATTCAAAATCAGTGTTCTATCTATATATATATATTTATATACGTACACACACACACACACACATATATATATATATATAGACACGTACTCTGAACATTTCTTTCTCTACTGACTTTTCTCCTTATGTAATCGCGTGACTCCGGGCGCAAGGATGCGGTTAGACCTTTCGAAGCGTGTCTCTTTGGTGCCGAAGTCACGTAAGACGCACATTACTCAGTCACGATCTTAATTTCACTCTCTCACGTTGGCCGAATAATTACGTTATACGCGAGCAAAAAAAAAGAAAGAAAGAAAGAAAAAAAAACAAAAAAAAAAAAAACAACAAAAAAGAAAAAAGAATCAACGACGATGACGATGACGACGATAACGACGACGAGTTCGAAAGGCACTCTCATTTTTTGTTGTATTTTTTTTATTTTTTTATTTTTTTTTTCCTTTTCTTTTCTTTTCTCTTATACTTCTTAGATTCATTTTAATCTAATCGTTCGTTACATTTAAAAACGTTCGAATTAATGTTGGTTTTTTTATTAACTGATGTCATTCGTTAAATCATCTTATGAAAAAGATTAAGATCAAGATTATAATTACAATTTCGAATTTATTTTGAGTTTTAGTCAAGTTTATTTGAAAAAAAAAAAAAAAAAAAAAAAGAAAAAGAAAAAAAAAAGAAAGATTGTTTGGCAGCCAATCAATTTATGGTTTATCCGTAGTACACTACTTTTCTACGATCTTCTATCTTTACTTTCATCCTTGAAGCGACCTTCCAAAGGAATGAAAGGCTTCGGTATCGTTAGTTTCATCCTTAAACCGGTCTCATACCGGATGGCAAACCTTGGTGACGCGCGTTACTATTTTCGAACATGCAAGTAACAACGCGAGTTTAGCGCGATTGAACTTGGGAAGAACGAAATGGACAAATATATTAGTAGAAGCTCGTAAACCATTTAGGTTATTTCGTGATAATATTTTTTTATTTCTTTTTTTTCCTCCACTCCTCCCACCCTTCCCTAGCCTTCTCTTTGCTTCGCTTCATTTTCATTCATTTTTTCATTTCATTCATTCATTCATTCATTCATTCATTCATTCATTCATTCATTCATTCATTCTTATCCATAACAACGAATGATTTCTATAATCTTTCAAACTTCTATCAATGCGATAGAAGAGATGCATGCACGCATGCACATACAACAGAACGACGAATATTAATAATAATTAATATATATATATATATATATATGTATGTATGTATGTATGTATGTATATATATATTGATAAGAGAGATAATTTCGCGGGAAAATTATTTTTATTTAGAGAATTTAACAAATTGGGATCTCTCTTTATCTCTCTCTCTTTCTCTCTCTCTTTCTCTCTCTTTTTTTCTCTCTATTTCTCTCGGAGTGAACTCTATTTTGAATAAACTTTCACTTTTGAAATCTCACACTTTCTCATTTAGCATAATTATTTTCGAACTTTGTACATTCGATTACAAGATTTGCATGTTGTTGTCTGTCCAGATAATCGGAGTTACGGTGAATCAAGAGCCGGGTAATCGGGCTTCCGGGAATATCAGGGTAAGGATTTAATCATCAGGTTCTATACGTTAGAACGAGTATATAACGGGCACGGTATTCATTTGAATGATAATAGGATTTTTAGTATAGATAATTTGTTTATTCATATACATATATATATATATATATATATATATATATATATATATCGCACAGGAATTTCTCATTTAATTTATATAAAAGATCCAAAATTATGATAGGTAAACATACATATATCAATGCTATTATTATTGTGATTTCGAATATTATAATTTTGTTTGCACGCGTACGGGGTTATTGTTTTATTTCCATTGACTCTCATATTTGACATCGTTATGAATCGAATCTATCACATCGCGTTTCCTATGAAAAATTTCACGCTATCTAGGCCAGTGCTAATTAATGTTTAACTAACGAAATACAATGGGAATTTCTCGTCGTTCGGCAATATCAATTTCTCTTCGTTAGAAATGAAAATAGCAACGCATGGTTCGTATTGAGTTATTTATCCATGAGAACAAATATCACACCATGAAAGAGAAAGAGAGATAGATAAAGAGAGAGAGAGAGAAAGAGAGAGAGAGAGAGCAGGGGGGAGAGAGAGAGAGAGAGAGAGACGTTCGTTTCCTTCTCTTTTTTATTTCATACTCAATATATAATATAAATCGCACACAGTATAATTCGTACGTTGATCCTAAGAGACGAAAGATTTTCAATCATCGGTTATTACGTGGAAATAAAAATCTAACGTGAAATGTCGCCCCACGTTTGCAGCTTTTGCTGCGAACCTTTCACGCGGACATATTCTAATTTTCCTTTTTTTTTTTTCTCTTTTTTTTTTTTTTTTTTTTTTTTTTTTGCATATCACGAGTTAACCAGAAAGTCGCTTTTTCCGCAAGAGAATTTTCTTACCGAGGAAATTTCGTCACGGTTCACTACGTTTTCTCGCAATTCATAGCTTAACTCAAACGTTACTACTTTCCTTCTTACAATTCATAGATGCTAAGCCAGGAAATACAGAAATTCATTCGTTCGCATAGAAGAAGTACGCGTGGAGATACTTCTCTAAGAGGACTGGTGTATCATTTGTCGACTAATGAATAACGACGGAACGCTGACTCTTATTTTTTTTTCTTCTTCTTCTTCTTCTTTATTTTTTTTTTTCTTTTTTTTTTCTTCTCTTTTACATCTTACGTCATTCATTGAACCTATTGTAATGAGCTGAATTTAAATGATCGTGATGATTAACAAGAGGAAGAGTATATGATACTTATATGTATGAAAATTTCCATATTATTTATACGATAATAATTTACGAATTGATATTTTTCATAAATACATTGAATCTCTCAAATTCACAGGACTTATGTGTTTTATCTGTATCTTTTTTAATTTTTCATATTGGATTTTTTTCTTTTTTTTTTTTTATAATTGCTATTGTATAATTGTATGGTATAATCGTATTAGAATGAACAACTGTACGATTTTTATTGTAAAAAAAAAAAAGAAAAAAAAAATTTCTAATTTCGACGTTATATAATTATTCTATA